AATGTATATAAACCAGAGAGGACCGTTAAAACAACAGAGGAAAATTAATAGAGGAAAAGCAAAAGTATAACATAGACAAATAGAATGAGTGCAGTTGCACATGGGTTAAAATAACAAAGTCCAAGCGAAAAATATCAGCAGTATCTGATTTTCAACTGTAGTTGTAGATTTGCCAGACTTGTGATGAGAGTTGCCTTGAAAAGGATGGTTCCATTGCATATGTAATAAAGGAATGACAAATCGTATGAAAAGTGCCTGGAGGTTCTGGTCGAAATCTCAAATTTTGCGTAATTTTCAATTTTCTCCATTATAGCTATATTCCGGAGGTACCAAGCATTAAGTGTAAGATGCTGGACTGTTTTCCATTGAGTCACAACTACTATTTGAGCTGCCACGGTCAGATATACAACCAGTTCTTTTGACAATGCATCTACACTGGTGCCATCAAAAAATATTCGGCAACCTTAATTTTAGACAGCAAACAATAGTTCCTTTAGTCCTATTTCTGTCAAAATTAAATCGTCAAAATCTTGCACCAATTTACATTCCCACCATAAATTATAATAGGTTGGCAGAGCAAGAGACACTTAATCTCAGGGTTGTGGGTTTGAGCCCCACGTTGCGCAAAAGATTCCTGCATTGCAGAGGGTTGGACTAGATGACTCTCGTGGTCCCTTCCAACTCTACAGTTCCATGATTTCATGTACCAAGTTTATTGCGACACAACTACCTCGGTCCTGCTCACACCCCTTCTGCTTTGTGATGTCCCCAAAGAGGAATTTGGCCACAACAGGAAAACCTGACACCCAGAGCCCCCAACAGCAATATGTCCTTTCCAGTTTCCATGAAATACCAAACAGCAGCATTGGGGAGAAGAAATCGTGGGAGGCAGGGGGAGGCAAAACTAAACACAGTGTGGTACAATGGTTAGAGCGTGAGCCTAGGAATGAAAGAAACCCAGGTCTAAATCCCTATTCACTGAGTGACCTTGGATGAGCGTCTCTCTCTCTCTCCCTCCCTCCCTCTCTCTCTCTCTCTCTCTCACACACACACACACACACACACACACACACAGAGCCTGGCCCACCTCACAGCGTTGTTCTGAGGAACAAATGCACAATATATTTATTTTATTTTCCTATGCTGCTAATTATGGAGAGAGGCAACAGCAGCGTGAGGCGCAGATGCCTCAACTGCGGAACATTTTCATTCAACCATCTCTCCGACTCTGGAGATTTCAGCAGGTGTTGCCCACCATAAGGGCTAGGAACTTGGATTTCTATCAAGCGTGGAAGATTGTCATGAGAATTTCCTGCCCCAATGCTCTAGTTACAGGTAGGAAGCCGTGTTGGTCTGCCGTAGTCAAAACAAAATAAAAAAAATACTTCCAGTAGCACCTGACCAACTAAGTTATTGGTATGAGCTTTTGTGTGCATGCACATGAAAGGTCACTCAGTGAATAGGGGTTTAGACGTGGGTTTCTTTCATTCCTAGGCTCACGCTCTAACCACTGTATCTGAGGAAGTGTGCATGCACACGAAAGCTCATGCCAATAACTAACTTAGTTGGTCTCTAAGGTGCTACTGGAAGGATTTTTTTTATTTTGTTTCTGCCCCAATGCCACACTCTGGGCCCCTTCAGAACTGTGGCACACACACAAATCTGCCTGTTGGGGGATGGGTTGTATATCAGCAGTTCAGCTTTGCATCTCCAGGTAGGAATGTTGAAACCCTGGAGAGATGCTGCCGGTCAGTGCAGGACACACACTGAGCAATGGTTTGACTTCAGTGTAAGTTCGGCCCTTTCACTCAGACCGAGGGTGGTGCGTATTGCTTCACTATTGACACACAAAGTGGGAAGCAGGAAGAAGCAGCCCCCTAAGTGTGTGCAGTCAGAAATCTACCCCGGCCACCTCCCCTAGAGCGCAGGAACATGAAATCCTCGAAGTGCGTCAGCAGAGGGGTCAGCCAAGTAGGGCTGGCGTTGTCCGGAGGCCTTTGTCAGAAGCAGAGCCCAGATGCCAAGGATGGCAGCTTGTTGACTGTACTACAAACTCTCTCCTTCTTTTCACGCTAGACCTTCCCCATCACTCTGTCCCCTCGTCCGTCATGCGTCTGGCGCATTCCCAGCTGCCGGAATAAAGTCCAGGGCACACGAAGAGCCCTGCTGGATCAAAGTTGACAGTCAATCCTGGATCAGTCCCCAACTTCTCCAAACGCTTCTCGTCACTTTAAAGCTTGTGAATTTCACTTTAAAACACGCAAAAGACAACATGGGGCATTTTTTACAGCAAGCAATCCAAATTTTGCATTGAGTGGTGGGGCTGGGGCTGAATTCGGCAACCAAGGGACTCTGCACAATTTCTCACATTTTCGCATCCCCTACTCTGCAATTCTACTTTTTTTCTGCAGAAAAAAAATAAAGCAATAATTCGGCAGTGTGGTGTAGTGGTTAGAGTGCTGGACTAGGACCTGGGAGACCAGGGTTCAGATCCTGACTTTGCCATGAAGCTCACTGGTTGACCTTGGGCCAGTCACTGTCTCCTTTGCCTAACCTACCTCACAGGGTTGTTGTGGGGGTTAAATGAGCTCCTTGGAGGGGAAAGGTAGGATATAAATGCAATTAATAATAATAATAATAATAATAATAATAATTATTATTATTAAAATTTGTATGCTGCCCTCTACCCATAGATTTTAGGGCAGTTCACAGCATAAAATCACAATATAAAAACACAAAGTATATAATACATAATAAAAATAAGAACAGAAACAAACCAATAATCCCCCCTTTCCACAACACATTTAAAAGAGCATTAGATGTCAATCAGCCAAAGGCCTGGTTAAAGAGGAATGTTTTCGCCTGGCGCCTAAAAGTGTATAATGAAGGCACCAGCCAAACCTCCCTGGGGAGAGCAATCCAAAAACGGGGAGCCATTGCAGAAAAGGCTTCTTCTCATGTTGATACCCTCTGGACATCTCGTGGAGGAGGCACACAAAGATGGGCCTCAAAGAATGATCTCAGTATCCAGGTAAGTTCATATAGGAAGAGGCGGTCCTTGAGGTATTGCTGTCCTGCAGTCTGCAATAATCAAACAAACTGAGGGACTCTGTCCAATTTCTCATACTTTTGCAACCCATACGCCGTAATGTTTTTTCCCCCCTGCAGAATTCACTAAGCTTCAAATACAGTCGTACCTCGGAAGCTGAACACCTTGCGAGTTGAACGTTTTGACTCCCGAATGACGCAAACCTGGAAGTGAGTGATCCTGTCTGTGAACGTTCTTTAGAACCCGAAAATCCGACGCGGCTTCCGAATGGCTTCCAAATGCTTTGGAAGTCAAACGGACTTCCGGAACAGATTCCGCTCGACTTCCGAGGTACAACTGTAGTTGCTTTGAGTCAGGCAGCCAAAGGTCTGAGTAAGACTGAAGCTCCCCCTCTCTGAGCACGGTCAGCAACCATTCTTTCATCACCCATTGCCCTTTCACTAACCTGTGCTCTTTCAAATGCACTTTCGCTAGAAATTTGGGGGTTGGTTTAATGGAGAGGGGATTGGAAGATCTTCTGGAAAGCATCCTTTGCTATTCTGGATTTCCATGGAATCAGAGTGCACAGCCCTTTTGCCCTGTTCTTCCCGTTCCTTCTTCCACACCTCTTTTGCACAATCCACTGCCTGCTCCTTCCACTATATTCCAGGGGTGTATTGTTTTTGTTTGTTACAATGGCATGTATTTTGATGTTTTAAAATTGGAAACCGCCCTGTGATCCTTGGAAGAACGGTATAGAAATTTAATTAATTAATTAATTAATTAATTAATTATTATTAATAAATACTACTTCCTCTTTCCAACTTACAAAAATCAAAAGGAGCCATTTTTAGGTTGCAACTAGTCAGCGCTAAAAGTCCTGGCAGCTCCCCTGGTCTTGTGTGTGATGGTTTCCCCCCAGCTAAACTTGCCCTTTCATCTGTTCTTCCCAGAAACCATTTACCAATGTTTTGCTTCTGGCTGTTTCATTCGGAGCAGCGAAGGCTGCATTATGAATCTAAGAACCTTTGACAAGCCTGCTGGATCAGGACAATGACCGCATCTAGTCCAACATCCTGGTCTCACAAGGACGCAGGTGGCGCTGTGGTCTAAACCACTGAGCCTCTTGGGCTTGCCAATCAGAAGGTCGGCGGTTCGAATCCGCACGACGGGGTGAGCTCCCGTTGCTCTGTCCCAGCTCCTTCCAACCTAGCAGTTCGAAACCACACCAGGGCAAGTAGATAAATAGGTACTGCTGCGGCGGTTTAGTCATGCTGGTCACATGAACTGGAAAGCTGTCTGTGGACAAACGCCTGCTCCCTCGGCCTAAAAGCGAGATGAGCGCCACAACCCCATACTCACCTTTGACTGGACTTAACTGTCCAGGGGTCCTTTACTTTCTTCTTTTTTAACCTGTTCTTACAGTGGCCAACCAGGTGCCTGTGGGAAACCCACAAGCAGGACTTGAGCCCAGGAGCAAATCTCCCCTCCTGTAGTTTGCAGCAACTGGTATTCAGAAGCATCACTGCCTCAAATTGTGGAGGCAGCGCATAGCCATTGTGGCTAGTAGCCATCAATAGCCCTTTCTTCCATGAATTTATGTAGCAATTTGTTCAATTTCCTTAATGTTTTCCTAACATTATATCCGAGCTTTCACACAGAGTAAAAAAGCCAGCTCCGGAAATATAATAGAAATATATAGCTCAAGTCTGGTGCTCAATTTCTATTTTTTAAATTTTTTTGCTTCCAGGAAAAATCCATTTGTAAACAACACGGAAACAAGCCCTAAACAGGCACTACGTTTCTGAAAGCAGCTTTTATGTCGTGTGAAAACTCAAACATAATGCAGAAATGAAGAAGTAAGAAAAGTATAAGGGATACAGAATACACTGCTGTGCGAATGCAGCCTAAACACGGGCAAACCTTTCGGCTTTGTTGTGAGTGGGAAGCCTCAGGAAACTGAACGAGACACGGGGGGAAATGTGGAAACTTTTATTGCAATAAAATAATTTATATGCAGACACATATATACTCACACACACGCACACTGTAAAAAGGAGCGGCATTTTGAAAACTTGCCAACAGGCAAAAATAAAGGGAAGGGCTCCGTCTTGCAGCAATCCTACTTTAGAGGAAAGTCCCTAACCTCAAAGTCTTCTCTTTATCCACTCATCTGCTTCACTGAGACTTTTAGGGATTGCTTGAGAATATGCTGCAAATCAGGGAGCTGGTTCAAAGAAAGGACCTTCTGAACCAGCTGAAGGATTCCTAAAGGGAACAGGACTGGGTGGGATGCTCTGTTTGTCAGTGTGTCAGGATTCCCATTGGTCACAAACACTGTTCCCAGGGGAAATATTAGGAGGAAGCAGAAGACAGAGCATCTTTGAGACTGAGTGGCTGGGCAGTCTGTCTCAGAAATGTGCATGGCCTGCTTGCAGTGGTTGGCCAGCCTGTTTCAATTTGGGGGCTTTGTTTTTTTGTAAAAGGAAGAGGGAGGGGAACCTTTGTCCACACTGCATTTTAAAGACAGGATGACACCCTTGAAAACTATAAGACCTTTAAAAAGTCCTTCTTCTTTAGCAGCTGATAAATGGCTCCAGGAAGGTGGGGTGAATATTTAGCCCAGCTGTGCTTGCAAAAATCTTGATAAGGGTTAAATATCACAGGGTGTGGGGGAATAGCCCCACCATCTTCAACAGTTATGCCTGAGATGGGAAAGTTGTGGATGCAGCTGGCAGCTCTCAGCCAAACCAAAGTACAGCACCGAAACCTCGTTGCTGATTAAAATACAAGTTAAAAATCGGGTTTTGTACATCTCAAAATGGGAACTTCTATGCACAGGCATTCCACGAAACAGGGACTGTGTCCCTTCACAGGCTCCAGAGGATTGTGGGAGATTCTTGGCAACTCTTCAAAGAGGCTGGCTATCTCCTTTGCCTCCTATTCATCCCCTTCATCTTCAACAGGGCCTCACAAAGTCAAAAGTAGAAAAGTGGAATTTAAAACCGTCCCGTTAAAATACTTCCCAAAGAAAAAAATCTGTATCTTTGGCATCCGTTTGGCACTGCCTTCCGCACAAGAGGAAAAACAAACGCAAGGCATCGTTACAAAAGAGAAGATCAAACGAGAGGAATGTTTTTTGCTGTGAATTAACACCGCAGATAAAAGTCCCTTTCAGTGTCTTCTGGAAGGATTCCATTTCCTTCCTAGGCTCAGGAAAGAAAGCCAGGTGTGTCAGGAGTTCACACGCTCTCCTACTAAACCCAAGGGGACCCACATTTTCCAGAAGAAAATGGAGGAAGCCGAAGATCCAATGTTCCTGTGCTGGTTTTGTCAACAGGTGCCCACAGAGACACACACAGAGCACCCAGGGAAGAATGGATCAGCGATGCCACCTAGAGGCCGAATGAGCAGACGTTCCGGCAGGTTCCGCTTGTGAAGGGGCCCCACAGAAAGCAATCAGGAGCCTATCCGAAGCCAGACAGTTTGTCCATCCAAGGACCCCAAAGGGGCAGCAGAAAAGGCTCCTCAGTGGGGGAGAGATGTTTGGGGCGCTTGTGAGACGCACCTCCCTGTTTGCAAACCGGGTGGGCCACCCCATTCAGTAAATGGCTTCATCTATGTTGTCGTCGCTGTCGCCCCCGAAATCTTCACCGTTGTCGAAGTAGGACATGATGTAATCCGTCTCCTGTTGAAGAAGAATAAATGGGTGCAGTGGAGATGAGAGTTTAGAACAAGCTTTTGCTAAAACCAACAGGTTCAAATAACAAGAAAGGGGATTTCCTCTCAACATTAGGAAAACCTTTTTGAGGGTTAAGAGCTGTTTGTCCATGGAATGGACCACCTCGGAAGGTGGTGGACTCTCCTTCATTAGAGATTTTTAAACAGAGGTTGGATGGCCACCTGCCAGGAATTTTTAGCTGTGATTCCTGCATTGCAGTGGGTTGGACTAGATGTCCCTTGGGGACCCCTTCCAACTCTACAGTTCTATGATTCTATGAACCTGATGCTCCTCCAGATGTTTTGGACATCCTGGCTTTCCGAGGTTTCATCAGATGTGGCCCACACACTTTCTAGCTTATCCTTATGGACTACAAGCACATTCCTTTTTTTAAAAAAAAAAAGGAAACAAAATGTGAATATCTCATGCCTTGAATTCGCTGGTCAACGCTGATTTCTCAGCTTTAAAAAGTGCAGATATCCAAAACCCTCCTGCCAAATGGATCCCAGTTGGATGCCTCTCCGAATTTTAGGGAGCAGAGAAACCTTTCTGGGATGGCACCGCACACACTTTTTTAGCTAAGGAAAGAAGTCTAGTGGTGGCGTTAGCAAGCGGGGGTTGTGCAGGGAAGGCTGCCTGAACCCCTCAACTCAGAGAAACGGCAGGGTGCACCTCTTGCCAAAGACGGGTCTGCGTTTCTGATTTTTGTCCTCCATACCTCCTCAAATTCTTCCTCGTCGTATTCCTCCTCCTCCTCTTCCTTCCCTTCTTCTCCCTCTTCTTTCTCCTCTTCCTCTTCAGACGTCACCTCCTCCTCTTTCTTTTCCAAAGTCTAGGAAACAATTGAAAAGTATTAAGATACAAGCTTATTATATCACAATTTCAAGGGCAGACTCCTAGCGCTGAGAACATGATCTGAGACCCAAAGGAACCATCACATGAACTGGGTGAAGGGGGGGGGGGGAGTCTTGATTCGGCCTCCTGTCCTCCATCCTATTATATACAACTCACTCCCAACTTGCGATGGATCTCACCGTCTCTGGTTGATTCAAGATGAAACTTCATTTGGTCTAAAATACAGCAGCCAGATTAGTGGCTGGGGTTCCGTTTAGATCTCACATATAATCCTGACGGTTAGAGCTGTTTGACAGTTGAACAGATGACCCAGGAAAGTTGGGCTCTCTTTCATTGGTGATTTATAAACAAGAGGTTGGATTGTTTATAAATACAGGAGCCACTCTCGGGGATTCCTCAGCTGTGATTCCTGCATTGCATGGGTTGGACTAGATGACCCCTGGAGGACCTCCCCACTCTACAATTCTGATTTACCCCCTGTTCTAAAACAGCTGCACTGGTTGCCAGTTCATATCTGGGTCTAATCCAAGGTGCTCATGGAACAATGCAGGCCCCAGATATCAGAAAAACTGCCTTCTTCCCTACAGACCAGCCTTCTTGGTAGCTCCTCTGCTCTCAGAGGCTCAGGGGTGGTGGTTATGATCCAAGAGGTCTAATCTGTGGTGGCCCCTAAACTGCAGAACTCCCTCTCTGCAGAGGTCCGTCTGCACCTTCATTGTACAGCTTTCGGAGGATGCGGAAGACACACCTCTTCACCCTGGCCTTAATGTTTCTGAAAGCCAGTTGCTTTAAACTACAGAAGGGCAAAAAGTGCTCTTGTCTTGGCTTCCCAGAGGCATTTGACTGGCCCCTGTGAGAACAGGATACTGGACCAGATGGGCCATAGGCCTCATCCAGCAGGCTCATCTTATGTTCTTACCTCCAGCTTCTTGATGGCTTCTTCTTTGTCTACTGGCAACTGAGTTTTGCGCCTGGGGGTAAGGATGGTGGCTCCTGTACCAAAAAGAGACCATCAGGTTAACACCGCAGAGAGAGGACAGCAGGATAAATGCTGGAAGCTGCTTCTGTACCAAAGCCAGACCATTAGTCCACCTGGGACATTCCCAGTCTTACTGGGAGACGCCACTGGGGATTGAACCCATGACCTTCTGCACACAAAAGATGCCCTACAGCCCTTGCATACATTTACATCAGCACACCGACATCTCCTGAAGGCTGCCCATTTTTCCCCAGGCATAATTCAAGGAGCTGGCTTATGAGGAACGGCTAAGAGAGCTGGGCATGTTTAGCCTGGAGAAGAGGAGGTTAAGGGGTGATATGATAGCCATGTTCAAATATATAAAAGGATGTCACATAGAGGAGGGAGAAAGGTTGTTTTCTGCTGCCCCAGAGAAGCGGACACGGAGCAATGGATCCAAACTACAAGAAAGAAGATTCCACCTAAACATTAGGAAGAACTTCCTGACAGTAAGAGCTGTTCGACAGTGGAATTTGCTGCCAAGGAGTGTGGTGGAGTCTCCTTCTTTGGAGGTCTTTAAGCAGAGGCTTGACAACCATATGTCAGGAGTGCTCTGATGGTGTTTCCTGCTTGGCAGGGGGTTGGACTCAATGGCCCTTGTGGTCTCTTCCAACTCTATGATTCTATGATTCTATGGCTATCTTACCTACTTGTGTGGTCAACAGTTCCTAAATAGAAAACATTCACAACAAGGAGCCACAAAGAGCAACGAAGAGTCAAGGCCTCCAAAACATTCAACAGCTCAATACACACATACAGATAATATAAACAGCTAGAAAATTATATATATATATATATATATATATATCACCTTAGTTTATATATTAAATAATAAGGCTCCCACAATCAACCATGGGAAACATCTCGACATTTTCGCTGTCCCCCTCCCGAAGCTACAATTCCCAGAGTGGTTTAACAATCAACCCCTCTTCTCAGGGAAGTCTGGGAATTGTAGCTCTGTGGGGAATTTGTGGCCTCCTCAGCACCCTTAAACAAACTACAGCTCCCAGAATTCTCAGGGGGAAGCCACAACTATCTAAAGTGGTATCATAGTGCTTAAAATATATGGTGCGAATGTGGCCTCTCAGCTCACAAGGGGCAAAAATGAGGGTTCTGGGTTCATCTGCTTAACCGAAAGCCATGGCATGTCCCAGAATCCTCTGCAACACACGGGTTCTTTGGCACATTAATGTGGCAGGGGCAGAAAACTTTGAAAAGTGGCAATTTATAAAATCCTAGTAAGGTTAGGCCCAACGTACCCAAGAGACCACCATCTTCTCCCTCACCCTCCATTTTGAAGACCCACCAACCAAGGACATCCTCTTAACGTGATCATTTCTGCACCAGGGTTGGGCATCAAGGGCAGAAGGTTCTCTCAGGCCCTGCTTGCCAGTTACAAGACTTTTTCCCACCTTGGATTTACAGAGGCCTCAGCTCTCTTCAAAAGGGTGACAAACTCTGCCTGTCTGAACTCATCTCGCTGAGGATTAAACCGGGAAAGGGTGTGGGAATTCTGAGCGGAAATCTGTCACTAAATTCCCCATAAAACTGAACAGTAAGCTGCGTAAATGGGGACTTGGGCAATTCAGGAAAAGCTAAATGGGTTTTGACGGGAAAGAACCCTTGTAAACTGGCAGAGGCAGCATGGTACAGTGGGCAGAGCTTTAGGCTGTGCACACATTACCGGCTTAAGACGCGGTGGAGCTGTTTCCACCCCCTCTGTTTCAAATCGCATTTGCACACTGTACACAGCTGGGTGTGTGCTTCCAAGTTGCTGTCTGTCCACACACCAGCGGGTGGGGAGGAGGCATGGCTGTCTTCGTAGAGGCTGTGTGGTGCAGTGGTTAGAGTGATTTGAGGCCAGCCACTCACTCTCAACCTAACCTACCTCACAGGGTTGTTGTGAGGATAAAATGGGGGGAGGGGGAATGAGAACTATGTACGCCACCTTGAGCTCCGTGGAGAAAAAGGTGGAATATATAAATGGGAAATGATATACAATTAATTGAAAAGGCTGTTCAAAATAACGTTTGTTTAAAAAAAGCCCAGAAGCTTTTCCTTTGGGAATTATAGGGACAGAACTACCTAAATTCTATAGAAATTTATCTAGGTATGCAACTACAGCAGCAAGACTGCTACTTGCCCCAAAGTGGAAAGAAGCAGAAGTTCCAGCAAAGGAAAAATGGATACAAAAACTTATGGAATATACAGAAATGGCAAAACTTACCGGAAGCATAAGAAATCAAGATAACAAACTCTTATCTTGATTTATTTATTTACAGATAAATTGTAAACAGATAAGAACATTGACAGGATTATTGTAACAACCTGCAATTTCATAAGAGTATATATTTAAAGTAGATAAGAAAAATGAGCCAATTAAACGAATTTGGATATGCAGAAAATATTAAAAAATAAATTTAAGGAACTTCAGAAAGAGGGGAAGGAAGTCAAACTTTGAAATGTTAAATTGATTGTAAAACTAATAAAATGTATAAACCTGAAAAGTATACATAAAACCTTTTTTAAAAAAAGGAATATATAAATGCAAGAAAGAAATAAGGATTACGCCTTCAAATCAGATCAAAGCTGGCCTGCTTGCGGGGAGATGAAAAGGCAGCTTTTCTCACAGGATAGATATGGATTGTGGCTGATAGTGTGCGCACATTGCTTCCTAAACCAGTGGTGGGGGCCTACTGGATGCAAATACTTAAGAGCTGGGTGAGCAGAGTGCTGCCATTTGAGTCGCAGAGAAGAAGGGTCAAATCCCTGTTCTGCAGCTGGGCAATCGTGGGGTGCGAAAGCGTAAAAGTCAGGAAAGGGGGTTTCTGTTGCTGCTGTTCTGACTTTAGCTTGAACGCGGAGAAGTACTTACTCTGCTTTTTAATCTTCCGCACCCGGATCTTTAATTCTTGGGGTAGCTGTTTCCAATCTGCAAAGATAAATAGCCAAGCAAAATTTAACTACTTGGGCACATGTGGAAGGTCCAGCTGGATTTTCTTATAAAATCCACCACTTCTGTTCTTCAGAGCCATTCAAAATTCCTAATAACACCATTTATTTACCCCCCCCCAAAAAATCCCCCCCCCAAAACCCCTAAGTCGGAATTTTGCCTTGTGCTCTAAGCAGGGAACTCTATCTGTGTATACTCTACACAGGTCTCATTCACTTCTGTTGGCAAGGTGGGCTGGGGGAATAATGTGGGGTGGGGAGACAGGATCCTACCTTGGCCCTTCCGTGCCCACTGCTAATATGGGGGTAATAACATCAGCCTAACTCACAAGTTTGTTGTAAGGGCTGTAATGGGATGATGCATATGGAATGCAACTGTACCTTCCAAACCACCTCACAAATAATGACTAACTTAGGTTGATTAATTTCAACGGTTCCACCCTGCATGCAACTTACGTCTCATCTGTTTCTATGTCGCTTTTACTGTTTCATGGTATGTTTTCACCAATTTGTACTTGTATTTGTTTTTGGGGTTTTTTTGTAATGGAAAATGATATATAAATATCTTCCAATATATCTAAGGCAAGGGGGGAAAGGAGCCCTTGAGGCTGGTGTGGGATGTGCAAATATCCAAATAAATGCAACTAAATAAAATATTCTCCGACTTACCAGGACTCCACTCAATGGCATTGTCAACAGGAGTGGACATCTGATACTTGTCGGAATAGCGTTCCACATCTGGAAAATGCAGGATGCAGACAGGTTTCAAGAAACAAGCCATTCTACCAACCCACACACAGATGTAGGGACTTGACTAAACCCGGTGTGGCTAACTTGTGGTTCTCTTCATGGGCCGGCCCTCTTTACACCCCGAAGCTGCCTCCTACTTGCCCCCATACCCAACAGGCCCTACTTTATTCCTCCCCTTACTTCTCTGCTCTTATGAGTTGACACAGGTTTTGTTCTAATGCAGGCTTCCTCAACCTTGGCCCTCCAGATGTTTTTGGCCTACAACTCCCATGATCCCTAGCTAGCAGGGCCAGTGGTCAGGGATGATGGGAATTGTAGTCTCAAAACATCTGGAGGGCCGAGGTTGAGGAAGCCTGTTCTAATGGTCTCCAGCATCCTCAGAACAACAAAAGAACATAAAAGAGCCCACTGGATCAGGCCAATGGCCCATCTAGTCCAGCCTCCTGTTCTCACTGTGGTCAACCAAACACTCCTGGGAAGAACATCAGCAATGCTCTCCCCCTTGTGCAGTTTCCAGAAAACCCTGTTCCCAATCTAGCCACTGAGATTTCCCACCAGGTGCTACCCACATATTCTCAGGGCTATTTAGAGACCCCAGAAGTGTGCTTTCAAAAGAAGAAGAAAGTTGTTGATCCTCATTTTGTGTGTGCCCAGTATCCAATTCCTCAAGTGGTCACTGTGGAGCTCAAAGAGCCTTGATCCTATGAGTGAAACCAGAGCCTGGAATTTAAAAATATGTTTGTCGAAGAATGAATGAACAGTTCCTGAAAGCCCACAGAGGGAAGATGCCCATCGCATCTTATGATCCTCTTCTCTGGGCTTCTCCGACCAAGAAGGTCGCCCAGGCTGGTGGATCACAGCAGAAGATCTCTGCTGTGCTCCGCTGAACACAAGTCTGTGTTTAATATCAGCTTGGCCAATGACCTCTTGTCAACATAACCTGAAGCTGGCTTTAGGCCAGTGAAAACCAGCCACTCGATAGGGATCTAGGAATCCTGAAATTTAGAGAGATTTGGGGTTTAGAGTCACTGGGTTTGCACACACTGATGACACCAGGTGGCCTCAGGTTAACAAGGTGTATATGACACCACAGATGAGAAGGATTTTACAACCCTGGGAAACTTGACTTGGGGGGATTTTGCAATATCTCCGGGATGCACCTGCCTATAACAACATGTGCAGAGGAGGGTGATGAAGGTGGCGAAAGGTCTGGAGACCAAGCCTTATGAGGAATGGTCTAGGGATCTGGGTATGCTCAGCCTGGAAAAGAGGAGACCGAGAGGTGATACAGCTAAGCAACAGGGAGGTGGAGAGAAAGGAGGGGTTGGAAAATGGGAGTGAATCTGCTCCCGTTTGCCTGTCATTGCCCAATCCTCACAGCAAGGCCACATGCTGCCAGATGATATAGGTCACATCAGCACCTTACATTCAAAGCACTTGAAGCAGCCATGGCTTTCCCCAAAGAATCATGGGAATTGTAGTTTGTTAAGGGTGCCAAGAGTTGGGAGTTCCCTGGGAAAGAGGCATTGATTGTGAAAACTGCTCTGGGAATAGACCAACAACTTGGGTGGCCTTAAAACAGGATTAGGCAAATTCACGGAGGAGAAGGCTACCAATGACTATTAACCATGATGACGATGTTCTGCCTCCAGAACCAGAGGCAGCAAGGCTTCTGAATGCCAGCTAGTGGAAACCACTGGAGGGGAAAAGGGTCTTGTGTTTGGGTTTCCCATTGGGGCACCTGGTTGGCCACTGGGATGCTGGACTAGATGGGCCATTGGCCTGATCCAGCACGCTCTATTTATGTTCTTATGACTTCCAACATTCATGGCTGACCCTTCCCCCTCCTTCAAAAAAACAAACCCAAAATTCCCATCGGTGAACGTTCTGTGACTCCGAAACAGGTCAGCCAATCTATGGGGTGGGGTAGCGATTAAAAGATTGCAAACTATTTTTGCCCTTTGATATTTAAGAGGTGGGTCAGCTGTTTTACTGTCCTCCTAGCAGAGGAGGAATTCTGCATTCTTCTTGCCTGGTGGGTTGTTGTGTTGTTGTTTTTTTTACCTTTCTTTGGTGCAGAAGGCTTGATGAAGTACGGCAGGTTCTTCATAGCACCCCTCAGTTCTTGTTTCAGGGCCAACATGTATTCAACCTCCTCTCCCGTTTGCAGTGGAACAGGTTTATATTCTAAGGGCTGTACGGGGAGAGGCAAAGAGACACAATAAGTTAACCTGCCTCACAGGGTTGAAATGGGGGGTGAAATGGGAAGGGGAGAGAACCATGTACGCCACCTTGAGCTCCTTATAAATGCAATAAATAAATACGGATAATTTTATTGGATAAATTAATATGTCTGATTTTTCTAGACACCCCCCCAAGATCAAATTAAGAAAAAAATGTAAAATGGATCACGGTATAAATAGAAATACCACCACCTGGCTACCCTACAAACAGTATTTCAGGATTCAGGTTACGTTTCTTTAAAGCACAATACATTCTACTGGTAGGATTAAAAATATTCTATTTAACATAATATTTGATCTACTATAATATTCAATACTAGGGACGCAGGTGGCGTTGTGGGTTAAACCACAGAGCCTAGGGCTTGCCGATCAGAAGGTCGGCGGTTTGAATTCCTGCGACAGGGTGAGCTCCCGTTGCTCGGTCCCTGCTCCTGCCAACCTAGCAGTTAGAAAGCACGTCAGAGTGCAAGTAGATAAATAGGTACCACTCTGGCAGGAAGGTAAACGGCTTTTCCGTGTGCTGCTCTGGTTCGCCAGAAGCGGCTTAGTCATGCTGGCCACATGACCCGGAAACTGTACGCCGGCTCCCTCGGCCAATAAAGCAAGATGAGCGCCGCAACCCCAGAGTCGGCCACGACTGGACCTAAATGGTCAGGGGTCCTTTTACCTTTACCTTTAATATTCAATACTACAGTTTCCTTTAAAGGATTCATTGTTTTATATAACCTATTTTTATTTATGTTTTAAATCAACATTGCTTTGGTAATACATGTTTGATATGGAACGTAAATAAATATAATAAAGGGGTGGGGGAAGAAATTGAGAAAAAGCAATCCAGACTCACAGGAAACAGTGGGGATGGTTGGAGGGTGGGTGGGGGCAGAGCCTCCCCCTTTCCGATGCCCACAGCTTCAACGTTGAAGGTCATGTGACCGCCGCGGCCCCTCCCTCTGCCGCCTCTTCCAGCCATGATTGGTCCTCTGGGCAGAAATAGGTACCGATGGTCTTAGGAGAGGTGTTGTCAGGAGGCAAAATCTGTCACACAATAAGATGAGAGGTATAAATTACTTTTTATATCTTGCTTTTTTGCCAGACCGAGTCTCTGTTAAAACAACACAGATAAAATACCAGGGAGTAGGCCCCAGAGGAGGGGAAAAGCACAGGATATAATTTTTGCGAAATGAGCACTTGTTGCAGAAATGGTCCTAAATTTATCTCATTAATATGAGATATATGAGAATTTAATTTGTTTAATTTATGCTGGATTAGACAGATCTTTGGCCTGCACGACAGTTTTGAAGCTCAGTTGTGGTTACAGCATTGCCGTGTAACGTAGCACAACAGCATGTGGCCAGATACACACAGCCGAATGAGGGAGCAGAGTCATGGGGCAAAGGTGAAACAGAGAACAGGACCCTTGCACCTTTAATACTTGTGTAAGGGTCCAGGAGTCCTCACTTTCGCTTCTCTGGCCTCCCAACCTGAGGTGGTAAAGCTGACCGTACCAACGAAGGTGGGAGATCTCTCTCTCTGCTGTGCCACTTTTCACCTTGTGTTGGATCTCTGTGGGAAACAAGCAAACCCTGCAAGCGGAAAGCTAGCAGATGGGGCAAAAGGGTTCGCTTGGCTCCCTTGCTACTTTTCTCCTTGCAGGGAGCAAGCTGACTTTAAGGTGCATCCGAAAATCAAACCAGCTCCACATTAGATGTTTACACTCTGGACCTGTGGCATTTGGATCGAGCCAGCCCGCCACGGGACACACGCACACAATGTCACCCACGATGGCAGGCTGTCCTTCAGAAGCAAGCCGTAGCTGCAACTGCAAAAGGGAAAACGAGCCGTAGCTCAGCGGCGGCGAAGCTGCTTTGCATGCGAAACTTCCCAAGTTCGATTCCTCAGTGGGAGAGCTGGAAGTGCCTGAGATCCCGGAGAGCTACAACTGCCAGTCAGTGTAGGCAATATTGAGCGAGAAGGGCCGGGGGTGGTCTGACTCGGTGCGAAGCAGCACCCTGGGGGGGGGACTCCCCTTTTCTCCCTTATTACCCCATTAGTCCCTCTCCTCCACCAAGAGGTGGGCGGGACTCCTTCCCAGGCCTCTCACTGAAGAATGGACCGGACCAGCTAGTCCATTGATCCAAGACCTCCCCCCTCCCCGCCTTTACCTTAGTTTCCCCTTTGCAAGGCCCACGTGGGGGCGGGGTGGGGGGGGGGAGGCAGCGGGCAGAGCTGCTGCCGGGTCCTTCGAAGCCGGATACGCAACGTTCGAAAGGGGCGGAGCTCCTCGGCCCGCGGCCAATAGGGAGGAGGGTAGGGAGGAGGAAGAGGAGTGGCTTAAGAACTTGTGAATGGGGAGGGTGTGAAGCTGGTTTTCGTTCCCTTGGAATCATAATTATTTTTTTTTAAGAATTAGAAGGAACCCAAATAGTCATTTAGTCTAACCCCCTGCAATCGGGGAGTGGGTGGAGGCTGGTCTCCCTGTATAGATGCAATCAAATCACGCAGCATGTGTTTTGGCTGGAAGTAAGTGAAGAAGCTACCTTCTGTAACCTTACTCAGGAGTAAGAGACATAGCGGGCTTACTCCCAGGTAAGCGGATCTAGGGTTGCAGGCTTACGCAAAACAAGTCCTTCAAAAAGGTGCCGGCCGCAACCCGTGCCTATGTAACTTAGGGTACTCCACTGAGCACAGGGGCGCTTACTTCCGAGTAAACGCGCAGGGGATCGGTCCGCACCAATTTTCTCTCTCCCCTCCCCTCTCAGAAATGGTTAACCGAACTGCAGCCTTGCATCGTGCATTTACCTTGAAACCAGCGATTGGGATTTACTCCTGAGTAGACCTGTCAGCAGCGCGCAGTTAATTTATCGGCTGATACCTCTGTTTTGTCAGCCGTTCCTCTCGTTTTTGCACACACCAAGGATAAGAGTGGGTGCAGATTTTTTTTTTCTTTTTAAGGAAAATGTTTCTTGGCATTTATCAAGCGATTTGTCTCCGCGTTCCAAAGTGCTTCTCTCCTACACACCATTAAACCCTTTACATATTATTTCCCCCCTCTTTCACATTTTCATTCAGATATAGGACATGATATATTAAACGAAGTGTGTGTATGGGTATACATATAAATATCATATAAATATATTAAAATTGAAATTCATTTATAAGTTTAACAGTGCAATTCTATACAGTTATTATTATTACCACACACTTCATTACCCCGCCCCCCATCCTGAGATCCTAGGGTAGGTTACAACAATTAAAAACAACAATAATTTTAAAGTTCAGTTTTACACAATATTTAAAACAGTTTTAAACAACTTAAAATTACAAAATAAGGCATGTTCTGAAAATACACATGTCAAGAGTCAAAAGCCAGGGTGAAGAGATGTGTCTTCAGCCAAAAGCTGCGTAGTTAAGGGGCTCGATGCACCAACATGGGGCAAGGAGTTAGACAATTATGGGGCCCTCTCCCAGGTCACCACCACCCCAAACTTCTAAGGGCGGAAGAACAACCAAGAGGGCCCCCTCTGCACATCTCAACATCCAAGAGGGTCTGTTTGGAAGGTATTTGGGGCCTCTGTCCTTCAGGGTTTTAAACATCACCTCTGGAATAGTTCAGCCGGTTGGAGCACGATACTTTTAATCTCAGGGTTGTGGGTTCGAGCCCCACGTTGGGCAAAAGATTCCTGCAATTGCAGGGGGTTGGACTAGATGACCCTTGTCCCTTCCAACTCTACAATTCTATGATTCCGTCTTCATGAGAACTTCTGTAAGGTGGGATGGCTCAAAACCATCCAGTCTGTGTCATTGTTGAGTGGGGGTTTGAACCTTTAAGCCTGTGCATTGTACATGCCAACTCATCGTCACCATCAAGAAAAGTTTCTCTGAGTATGCGCAAAGGTGCGTTTCCCTCTCTACTGGTTTTTGGTTCCAGAGATAATGGTTTCAAGGTAGGTAAGGCCTTAAGCTGACCTGGGCCTGGTCAGTGCCTGGATGAGTAACCCACCTGGGACCCCATGAATGCCACATTGGGTTCTCTGATGGACAAACTCTGGGATGTATATGTAAGGAAATAAATGCCTACATTAATAAATAGCCACACACACATCTGCTAAGGTGAAGGGAGGCATGGAGCTATTTTAGGATTAGCCACAATCCCCGTGATCAAGCGCCCTTTTTTGATCCCAAGCCCCTCCTGATTTCCTGAGTTTTTCCCCCACCCTCCCCACCCTGAAATTTCTCTCTGGAGCTGCTAAGGTGATTCATCCCCCTCCTCCCTCCCCTGCTCAGAGAGCGGCCTTAAAATTGCACAGACATAAAAATAAACCGTTTTCTTGATCTGCGCATCATATTAATAGCAGAGCCACACTAGCACGTGGGCTGATGCCATGGGGAGGGGGGGAGAGAGCAGGAGCCAGAGACATATTGATATTAGATTCTCTCCTTCTTCTTTTCTCCATCCGCTAAGGCATCTCAGCAGCCCATCACCCTGGGATGCCTGTGTGTTGCCCAGCCGGTGGTTGCCATAGCAACAGAGCGTGGGGTGGGGGGAGATGCAGGAGAAGATGGAGGGGGAGAAAGAAGCAGAAGTGGACACGGAGAGAAAAAAGGGGGGCAGGGAGTAGCAATCTACATTTTAAAAATATGCATTTAAATATGAGTCAGTTTGTGCAATCTCTTTTCAGCATCTATTTCTAATGTACACAGGTGTCTTTTCTGGATCAGAGGTGGGGGACGTGGTCCTCCAGATGTAGCTGGATTCTCCCATCATTCCTGACTGCTGGCCGTGCTGACCCTTCATTCTAGCATGTGTCTGGTGCCGGGTGATGCACTTTGCACATGCTCTGATGCACTCGGTGGTTTTTTCCCTGCACAGAGCTTCTACAGCTTAGTAGCCAGATAGACTGAGCTAGGAACCAGGAAATCCCCAGCAAGACAGATAGGCAGTAAGGGTTACCTTCATTGTTAGTCCTACTCAGAGCAGACCCACTGAAAATAACAGTGAGGACCAATTTAGGCCCTTTACTCTGAGCATGACTTAGCTGAAAAGCACCCAAGTACGCTTGCCTGCTTTTATCCTGACAATAAGGCAGTGGATTTGCAGTGGGGAGGGCTGCACATTTCCTCCTATGAACTTCATGGCAAGCAGAGAGTTACTACCTTGTGAGTAGACCCTATGGATTTCAATGAGCTACAATTTCACCAGCTAGATAATTGTCCCTCGGCTCTGCATCAGTAATGGAGGGAGAGTAATTTCATCCCAGAGTGGAGAGCCACTTAGGTGTTGCAGAGATAATGTGTTTGAAATATCATTTGACACTGCAAAAATACGACAAGTGCTGTTATGATTTTCGCTACTTCACAGGTTTCCGGTCTAACGTTGACATTATATTCTGGGGCTGAGCCCTCCCGTTCAGATTGTTCGCTCAGAGGTCAACGGACTCGCCCCTCCGCCACCTGCAAACCCACAAGTCCTCATTTCTCCTGCCTAGTGTATGTCATAAGAACATTAAAACATAAGGAGAGCCTGCTGGATCAGGCCAAAGGGAGCCCGTATAGTCCGGGATCCTGTGCTCACAGTGGCCAATCAGATGCCCCGATGGGAAACCTGCAAGCAGGATTCGAACGCAAGAGCAACTCTCCCCTCCTGGGTTTTCAAGAAACTGGTATTCAAAAGCATTGCTGCTTCTGATGGTGGAGGCAGAGCATAGCCATCCTGGCTAGTAGCCATCAATAGCCCTCTCCTCCATGAATTTGTATTATTATTATTATTATTATTATTATTATTTATACCCCACCCATTTGGCTGAGGTTTCCCCAGCCACTCTGGGTGGCTCCCAACAGAACACTAAAAACAGAATAAAACTTCAAACATTAAAAACTTCTCTAAACAGGGCTGCCTTCAGATGTCTTCTAAAAGTCAGATACTTGTTTATTTCCTTGACATCTGGTGGGAGGGCGTTCCACAGGGCGGGAGCCGCTAGCACTGGGAAGTTGGAAGGGACCTCAAGGGTCATCGACCCTCTCAATGCATAGACATTCTGATGCTGCAGAAACAGGAATATGGTACAGAAAGGCTGGCATCTGAGCAGAGCTTGGTGCTGTGGGTTTGCATCCCCCTGGCGGATGGGACTCTGCCACACCTGCTCTGCTCAGCAGTTTTAAGAAAAGAGGGAAAGATCCCCACCCCACCCCCAATAATCGGAGCAGACTTTGCCGGTGGGAAGGAAATTATGTCTGCTGGGTATGCGGGGGAATGTAGCACTTATAAAGACTCGCCTTATTGCTGCAATTTTTATTTGCTTTTAGTGTTATATAATGTTGTGCTTCGAATATTGTGTGTTTTAATTCTTAAGGAAGGCAGCAGGGAATGTTTTGCCCAAGGGTTCTGGCCAAGGCACAATGGTTTAGCGGGTGGCAGCCCGAGAAGGGGCCAGGCCCAAATCCCAGCCATAAAGCCCTTCGGCTGACCACCCTTTCTCAGCTATCCTCACAGGGTTGTTGTGAAAAGGAAAGAGAGGACCCTATCCATCGTTCTTGCTCTCTCTTTTTTTGAAGAAAACAATACAGCACCCGGAACTACAGCGCACAGAGAAGTAAAAACAAAAATTATTCATACCTAGACCTTGAACAGATACATGACCTGAAGAAATTGCAGCCTTGTAACATCAACCATTTGGCTTTCTGGGTTGGTTGGCTTGCTTTCCTTTTCCCTCCGCTCCCCACTTTTCTTTTATGTTGTGGCTTTTTAGAGGTTAGGACAGAGTCTGTGTTGTTTTCATTGTAAGGTGCTCTGGGAGCTTTTGCAAGGTTATAAATGTTTTCAATCCATAAGAAATGTAAAGGGTGACACTTTGGGAGGCAGCAGAGGGGACAGGAAGGAAAGGAAGATGCAAAGGATGAATCTGAGCAAATCCAGTTAAGTTTTACTTTATGAAATAGGTTATATCTTGTTTTATCCCTTGGGTTCAAAGCAGCTTACAGTAGTTTTCCAGTTTGTTCTTCTGTGTTTGTCCCCACCCCCATGGACCTACAATCTAAGGGCAGATCCACACCAATGCATTTAAAGCACGTCCAATGCACATTTTAAGTTCATGAGTTTCCCCAAAGAATACTGGGAACTGTAGTTTGTCTAGGGTGCTGGGAACTCCAGCTCTGTGAGGGCGAAACTACATTTCCCAGGATTCTTTGGGGGGGGTATTGTGTGCTTTAAATGTGCATTGGATGCACTTTAAATGTAGGGTATGGCTTTGCCCTAAGTGTGCAGTTTTATTGTTATTTTAACCATCCAATACAATATTAAAGAACAGCATTTACCCAAAACTATATTTACATTAAAACATCACAAACACACAAACACGCTTAAAAACAATTAAAAAGGTTAAAAGAACCAATGCATTAAAATCATCCAATTAATTATTATTTTTTGCCATTCAACCATATTGACCCCAGTAAAACTTCTCCTTGGCTTTCGGGCAGCCACTGCAAATCTCACAACTTTGCCTGTCACGAATTTGTCAGAATCAGACAACCTACGTGTGATTTTCACCTGATTGTCGCCATCGGGTATCTTACTTAACAAATTCAGAATAAACTTTACCCTTTGTTCAGAATACAAAAAGATCTTCCCTAAGTCAATAAAGAGAGGTTTTGGGAGGAGACAGAAGGAAATAAATACATGGCATGTTGCAGTCATTGAAAAAAATTATAGTGTACTTTCAGATTTGTGGGAAAAGAGGCCTTATTTTTCTGTTTTGCATTTTTAAATGTTCTTGCATTTATATCCCACCTCAAGGTGGTTCTCCTTCTCCTCATTTAACCGTCATAACAACCACCCTGTAAGGCAGGCTTGGCTGAGAGGAAGCAACTGACCCGCCCCGCCCCCCAGGTCACACCCAGTGAGCTTCATGGCTGACTGGCAATTCAAACCCCGGTCTCTCCCAGACCCTAGCAGTCCAACACTCTAACCACTACACCACACTGCCTCTGTGCTTATTATAATTAATTTCCCAGGGGCAACATGAAAGACTCGACAGTCAAGACTACAAAGAAAGAAATGACCTGCTCTTTTATTGCAGAATTAATGCCACCTGGCCTAAACCTGTACTGCGACTCACCAACAACGTGCAAAAAAGATCTTTGGGAGAAAACGCCCCAAAATTACTGTAAGGGGTGGGTTGGGGGGGACACACTAACCCTGGCAGACAGAACCAAATTTATAAGTGTTGGCTAGCAGCGAGCCTTTAAGAGACGATCTCCTTACCCCCACCCCAAAAATGTGGTGCAGTGTATATTTTAATTGGGGGGGGGTGGTCCTCTCCCTTGCTTTTGATAGGTAAGGGGGCTAAAAATAGCAGAATCCGCCATCCAGCCTTGCGAACCCCAGAATGGTTGGTTGGTAGGATAGATGGATGGAGAGATAGACGCCTCCGCCGCGCCCCCTCCCCCAACCCCCAAATCTTAAAGGAACTGGATGATCTTTGGAGATGGCTTGGTAACGATTGGCCCTTTCGCTCCATCCCCGAAGCAGCAGAGGGGGGTTAGCATCATTCCCAGGCACCAAAATAACACAGCGCCAGAGAGCAGCAGCAGCAGCAGCAGCAGCAGCAGCAGCAGGACACGTGTTCGGCGTGCAGAGGAGACGGGAGATCGCCAGAGCCCCCCTGCTCCGTGGCTCCCCCTCTCTCTTCCTCCTCCTCCCGAGAGCGCAGCAGAAGCATGCAGCCCGGGTGAGAAGCCTCGCCTCGCCAGCCCCCGCCAGGGTGGTGGTGGACCACATAGAAGACCACCGGAGGATGCGGCCAGGTACCTTTTCCAGCAGAGCTGTTTGGGTTCCATGCAGGTGTGCAGCGGTGCCTGCGTTTCCCCTGGGCTGTGGGATGCAAACTTTGATCCTCGTTTCTTTTTTTTTTTAACCAAATAAAATAGGATTTTAATTTTAAATACCTTTCTTCAACCAGGTGGGCATCTGTTGGGGAGGAGGGCGGGCAGGGAGATTGGGGGCTCGTGAGCATTAAGAGAGTCAGGGTGGGGTGGGGGGAACTGCCCAGGGTTATTTTGCGCCAGGGCTGAAAGTGTGAGAAAATCATGTAATTTTGGCATCCGGGTTGAAAGTGTGACAAAAGCGTGTTGCTTTTCCATGGGGGTCGAAAGTGTGACAAAATCAGAATATCTTTTGGGGGGGGGGGCTTCCTTTAATTTTGGATGTTGGGGGGGGGGAGACCTCAGACCCAGCAGGCTGCTGTATATTTGAAGGAACCAGGTCCCTGGTTTCCTTGAAGAAAATCCCTACCAAAATCAGGGGGGTGATTCCCTCCTTTCCCCCACCCATCCCCAATCTTCAAATGCTAAAAACACGGGGGTCTCGAAGACACGGAAAGAAAAGGAGGGACCCCAGTAGCGTCAGATTCTCCGACCTTCTTCCCTGCAGGTTTAACAGACTCTAAATTTGCCAGTGACATCCTGGAGAAAATGCACCCTCGCTTTGTGTGTGGACTGGGCAAGCTTCAGAGCTACCTCCATCCTTTCCTGATTTCCCAGTTCAGAAGTGGGGCTATTTCTAGCGGGTTTTAAAAAATAAAAGTATTCCAATCCAGTCATGCCTTACGCCTCCTTTCGTTTCACATCACCCCCACAACACCTGTTCAGGAAGACTGGGGTGGGGGGGGGGGAATATTACTGATATCTTGGCTATGCAAAGGCACCCTTTCTGCCTTGCTTATGAAAACCACAACGAATCCATTCGCTCATTAAGGCTGGCTTTGGGCTCACTTCCCTACTGACTGTTATGTAACCAAAGTGGAAGCAACCCCCCACAACTCACACTAATTTTGAGCAATCTCTTTTGTCTCCACATCCCCAAACATCCAGGCCTGAAATTTTAAACAGAAACAGGACTCCCTCTCCATCTGTCTCTGCACAGAAGGGTCTGTCTTGCTGAGGGACCCTGGGCAAAGTGGTAGATATTACCCCTCTGCCAAATAAATGCCACCTCCTTGCTCTTTATATTTAACCCCCTCCTAAGAATCAAGAAGATGCAATGCTAAAAATAAAGTGTGTGTTAGTGTGTGTGTGTGTGTGTGAGAGAGAGAGAGAGAGAGAGAGAGAGAGAGATTATTCAGTTATTCCAGTTTTTGATCTTTTAAAAATAATAATAATAATTTCAAAAGATGAGTCTGCCTCCTGCCCACCCACTTGGCATTAATGAAATATCTCTCTCTCAATAAAGTCAGTTTGCCCAGCAATGGGGATCAAATGTTTGCTGTTTTGAGTGGGTCTGCGATTCCAGCGGAGAGCTCTCTTGAGAGCTTCTCCCGGCTTTGATAAATATGTCCAGGTCTCCGGGGAGGAGGGGAATCTGGGTGGAGGAAGACAAGGCGAAGGGCTTTAGTATCAGATTTGTCATTAATTTGGAGCCAGGCTTGTTGAGGATAAATTATGCATCTTGCTGGGAAACCCAAGATGGAACTGTATGCCTTATTACACCCCCAGCATGACATAAGGATTTTGCTAATATTTGATATATGGCTCTTGTAGATTTCATTCGAGTGCCCCTAGAGGGACTGGAGAAATGATATAGAGAGCGGTGAGTGTGGGGAGGGGGAGAGAGAGCTGGGAATCTGCAAGGACAAGGGTAGTCATTCGTCATTCTGTCAATTGCTGGGAAATGCAGGTGGTCCCCGGTCACCTTAAATAGCTTGACCTGAGCTTTGCGTTGCAATCCAAGAGCTGAGCTTTGGGGCTTGTATATAGGGAAGTTTTTAATGTTTGATGCTTCATTGTGTTTTCATATTTTGCTGGAAGCCGCCCAGAGTGGCTGGGGCAACCCCCTCAGGTGAGCAGCATAGAAATAACAAAATAATAATTAAATTCTTATTTAAGGCGCCCAGGGGTTGTATGTCCTGCAAACAGCGAGGATTGCTTTTCTTTTCTGTGGACAGCTTTTCCATTTCGTAAGTTCATTGTCAGCACCGTCGCAAGGGGGTTGGACTAGATGACCCCTTTCGGGGACCTTCCAATTCTATGATTATATGTTTCTGTGAGCAAATGTATGCTAGCCTCAGATACGCTATCAGGCAAGCTTGGCCGTGTTGACATTTTTAGATTTGATTGCTAAATGCAAGCAAAACAAACAGGTCGAAATTAGATCACCCTCCAGGGTGACAGAAAAATTTCCCAGTGTAAATTAGCTGCATTTGTGTATGACATTCAAACGCTTTCCAGAAACCCTCGCATTGCTGGCTGCAAAGAGGAAATGAACCACATGAACCGCAGCTCTGGGGCACCGGCTGGCCTCCCTCTCTATTTAAAATACTGTCCTGAACCAGGTCCTGCTACAGGGTCAGCAAGCAGTTAGTTCCCCACCAATAAGCCCAGGTGCCCTCCTTGTGGCTCCCTAAAATTATTCCGTGACCTGGAGTTAGCGAACAATCTTGTGAGCAATTGTCTTCCTAGGAAGTGAGGCGAGAGCTGGGTGCGGCTGTTGGGTCACACCTTAAAAGACGAAAGCAAAAGGTTGGGGTGCCTGAGAACAAAGGAATTTTGTGTCCCCCCTGACCTCAACCTGCAGGATGTGCTGTTGCCAACTTTTTAGCCCCCCCCCTTGCTACTGCGGCTTGTGTCAAATGTCCTCATCACTGCAGAATATACAGTGGTACCTCAGGTTACAGACGCTTCAGGTTACAGACGCTTCAGGTTACAGACTCCGCTAACCCAGAAATAGTACCTCGGGTTAAGAACTTTGCTTCAGGATGAGAACAGAAATCGTGTGGTGGCAGCGCAGCAGCAGCGGGAGGCCCCATTAGCTAAAGTGGTACCTCAGGTTAAGAACAGTTTCAGGTTAAGAACGGACCTCCAGAACGAATTAAGTTCTTAACCCGAGGTACCACTGTACTGTGGTTAAGGGCACAGAAACACTGGTCATTTGAACAGTTGGCAACTCTCCGTGGAGGTACTAATCCCCACTCTGCGGAATAAGTATAATTATTTTATTTATATCCTGACTTTCCCCCAGAACCAGGACTCACAAACACCGGAAAAATCCAGAAATCTAAAAGCATATGAAGTATAATAGTTGAAAAGCAATTAAGGTATAGTAGAATGAAAATGATGTAAAAACAAATCTATTAAAGTACAAATAGTAAAACAGCACAGCACTGCTATAAGTTCTTTCCTTAAAAAAGAAGAAGGGTACAGTTTCCGAAGGCTTGTCAGAATAAAATAGTCTTCACCAGCCAGTGGCCAGTCTGGCCTCTCTAAGGAGGCAGTTGCAAATAGTATTAAGAAATTGGCCGGGCGCATTTTGCGACTGGCACAGGTCCAGTTGTGACCCATGTGGAGATCTCTGGGGGACTCCTATGCTCGGGTCCCTTTTATGGGTTTCCCTTCGGGGCCTCTAGTTAGCTGCTGTGAGAACAGGACTAGACAGTCCCCCTTTGGCCTGATCCATCCGGCTTTTCTTATGTTCTTATTTAATCATAGCAGCCTCCAGTAGCACAAGGGGTGGGTGCGTCTAGCTGTTAACCACAAGGTTGGTGGTTTGAGCCCACTGCCAATTGCCAAGCTGGCATCCGGCGTCTGTGGAAACAGAGTACAGCCACGGATAGTCTCCATGAATTTGTCTGACCCTCTTTTAAAGCCATCTAGGGAGGTGAGCGAGTTCCATCACTGGAGTGAGTTCCGTGGTTTGACTCTGCACTGAATTTTCTCTGTCCTGAATCTTCCCATGTTCAGCTCCACTGGATAGCCAGGAGTTCTAGTGCTAAGAGAGAGAGGGATGAAAACTTTGCCCTATCTACTTTATCCATGCCTTGCAAAACTGGATATACTTCTACCATCCTGCGCACCTTTTCTAAAAAGTCCCAAACGCTACAACCTTCCCTCATAGGAGAGTGTTTTGTTTTGTTTTAATTTTTTAGGGAAAAGGCCATCGCTCAGCTCTGGAGCCCCTCCTTTGCATTCCAAAGGTCTCATGTTTGATCCCTGGCATCTCCAGGTAAAGGTAAAGGTACCCCTGACTGTTAGGTCCAGTCGCAGACGACTCTGGGGTTGCGCGCTCATCTCGCTCTAAAGGCCGAGGGAGCCGGCGTTTGTCCGCAGACAGCTTCCGAGTCATGTGGCCAGCATGACTAAGCCGCTTCTGGCGAACCAGAGCAGCGTACGGAAACGCCATTTTACCTTCCCACCAGAGCGGTACCTATTTATCTACTTGCACTTGATGTGCTTTCGAACTGCTAGGTGGACAGGAGCCAGGACTGAACAACGGGAGCTCACCCTGTCGCGGGGATTCGAACTGCCGACCTTCTGATCAGCAAGCCCTAGGCTCTGTGGTTTAGACCACAGCGCCACCCGCGTCCCAGGTAGGGCTGGTGTTTTCCTGAGACTGAACAATGCAGTATCTTAAGTTCCTAGTTCATCGGCCGGGCTCATTCCAAGCCTTCCTATTCGATCAGTCCTAACTAACTCTGGGGGTTAACTGGTGTCGCTGTGCATGGCCTCTCATGATTTGTGGGCAGGAGGCGATTTGCCTGCCACACTAAATTAGCCACGGCCGGTAGTCAGAAGTGGGATTTATGAGCCAGAGTGCGGATTTGCTCAGCCATCCAGAAGCCACTTGCTCCAAAGCAAAGTCTCATTGAAGCGGCTTTTGTTTTTAAAGCAAGCGCAAAAGGATTCTAAATTAGCAAGCTGGCCTCCAACAACCCGGCCGCCTTACCCCACTTTCCCCTCCTTCCAAGAGACACAGGAAGTGGAGGGCTGGCAGTTCCACCCTGCTGAGGACTGCAGCCTTGCTGAGGCCTACTCCTGGTTTCCCCTGCGCAAGAAGAAATTGCAGGCTAAAAAGATAAACGGGGGGAAAAGCCAAAATTCTGCCAAATGACTCCCCTAAGTGGAAAAGTTGCAGCTTTTGAGACTTTGTTTAGCTGAGAGAAAAGGTGACATGATAGGAGATTCTAAAATTATTCATGGCAGGGAGAAAGTGGCTAGTGAGAAGTTTTTCTCCCCCTCTTGTAACACCAGAACTTGTAGACATTCCATGAAGCTGAAGAGGTTGAAGGTTCAGGACAGATAAAGTTCTTCACGTGGCACAGTTAATCTATGGAACTCACTCCCACAGGAGGCAGCAATGGCCACCAACTGGGATGGCTTTAAAAGAGTGCTGGACAAATTCACAGAAAGGTACCGTATTTTTCGCCCTGTAGGACGCACTTTTCCCCCTCCAAAAATGAAGGGGAAATGTGTGTGCGTCCTGTGGGGCAAATGCAGGCTGTCGCTGAAGCTATCCGCAAGCCTTGCAAGCCCGGCGGGAGTTGCCGCTGGGCTCGCAAGGCTTGCGGATAGCAGCCTGTTCTGGGGGCTGGGGTCGGGGGAAGCTTGGGCTTCCCCCACCCCAGCCCCGCGGCTGGGGGGGGGAAATAATTTTTTTTAATTCATTTCTCCCCCCAAAATCGAGGTGCGCCCTATGCGCCGGTGCGCCCTATAAGGCGAAAAATACGGTATATTATCTGTGATGGCTGTGTTTCGTCCCAAACAGCTGGAGGGGGCCATGTTGACAAAGGCTGGCTTAGAGAACATGACATACTGAGGGATGTATAGATTCATTAATCAATCAATAAATCAACAAAGCCGGCAGAAAACTAGAGGGTCGAGCGTGGATCCGAGGGCAAAAGTTGCCTTCAGGAAGAACCTAATATAGTGGTACCTCGGGTTAAGTACGTAAGTAATTCGTTCTGGAGGTCTGTTCTTAACCTGAAACAGTTCTTAACCTGAAGCACCACTTTAGCTAATGGGGCCCCCTGCTGCCGCTGCATGATTTCTGTTCTCATCCTGAAGCAAAGTACTTAACCTGAGGTACTATTTCTGGGTTAGCGGAGTCTGTAACCTGAAGCGTCTGTATCCCGAGGTACCACTGTACAGCTCACACAAATAACCTGGTTTGCACAAGGGAAAAAAGACCCTGCCCAAGTGACGCTTCCCGCAAAGTCAACTAACCTTTGCAAAAGCTGCCCTGAGTTTCCTAGCATTTAAAGGCATGGGCAGCTAATCTCAAGAATGAGAATTAATTACCCTTTTCCCTTCTGGCTCCTGCGGAAGGGTTTCTGAGTCACAGCAGGCTGCTTTGGATGCTGCGCCCGGAAGGACCGGCCAATTGTGCCCGTCTGTGTCTTTAACAGCATGTGGAGTGAACGCTCCTCCTGCCAGCGCTGGCAGGGGCCGCGCCTCAGCGGGGGCAGCAAAACTGGCACAGCCTGCCTAAGAGATGGGAGGTCCTTCCCCCACTCGGCTTACCACTGGCCACCTCTAGAAAAGTCACAGAGATGCTGGGAAGCATCCAAAAGAAGAATCGGCTGCTGAACCTACCTTGGATCTTAAGGCCTCAAGCTGTCTCCTTGCAAGGTTTAACGCCTGAGCTGCCTAAACATGCATGGAACTGCCATGCATGGAACTTAAGACTCTACTATGAATCGGCGGCTTTCTGCTGGTTGAAACAGTGGCTACTTCTTGAGAATACAGATATTTTGGATCTAGAAGGGTTTGATAATAGATTTGGTTGGCATGCATATATATGGTATGATAAGGTAAAACTGCATAAAGGTTTCAAAAACCATATTGTTAGGAAAGCATTATACAATGTTTGGATGCGGTATAAAGATCTATTGGAAAGTAAACTCCCAGGTGGTTGTCACCAATGGAAGCTAAAGTGGTGAAAAAACTTAATATGGAGTCTAAATGGCCAAAATATTGTGAAATTTTAGAACAAGATGGGGAAAAGTTAAATTACAGAGCTATGAGAAATTAAAGTCCAAAGTGCGAGATTGGTTGCACTACCTTCAGATAAACGAGACATTTAAACAGGACAGGAAAATAGGTTTCCAGATGGAGAGGTCAAAATTAGAAACAGAACTGTTAGAACCCAATACTAAGAATCTGTCGAGAATGTATAATCTGCTGTTGAAATGGAACACACAGGATGAAACGGTGAAATCAGCTATGATAAAATGGGCACAAGATATTGGTCATAACATTATGTTTGCTGACTGGGAACAGTTGTGGACCACCGGTATTAAATTTACGGCATGTAATGCCTTAAGAGAAAACATTATGAAAATGATGTATAGGTGGTACATGACCCCAGTCAAGCTCGCAAAAATTTATCATTTGCCCAATAACAAATGTTGGAAATGTAATGAGACTGAAGGTACTTTTTTATCACCTTTGGTGGACCTGCCCGAGGATAAAAGCTTTTTGGGAAATGATCTATAATGAAATTAAGAAGGTTCTTAAATGGACCTTCCCTAAAAACCCGAGGCTTTTCTCCTGGGCATTGTCGGCCAATTGGTGAGAAGGAAGGACAGGACGTTTTTATGTATGCGACTACAGCAGCAAGGATTCTTCTAGCAAAGTATTGGAAGACACAACAACTACCCACACTGGAAGAATGGCAGACGAAGGTGATCGACTATATGGGACTGGCGGAATTGACTGGCAGAATCCGTGACCAGGGGAAAGAGACAGTGGAAGAAGATTGGAAGAAATTTAAAGTTTATCTTAGAACTTGTTGTAAAATTCAGGAATGCTAAAATGTCAAGGGGTTGGGAAATAGAGAACTGCAGCTGTAATTAATACTATTAGAAGAACTTAAAAGAAATTGAATTGAATAATTAGTTGATTGAGGAGTTGCTGAAGAAATATAAAACAAGGATGCAGAAAAGGGAGGTATGGGGAAGTCCGGAAAGTAAGGCTTATGAAAAATGGTTATGAAATTATACATGTTTATATGTTTGTATGTCGGTGTATTGTGTATTGTTTGTTTTCTTATCTTGTGTTTGGAAAATGAATAAAAATTTATTTAAAAAAAAAAAAGGAACTGCCAGAGTTCCCCTGACAGAAACTTGCAAAGGATCAGTGAGTGGTCTCTTGCGAGGTTGTCAGAGGGGCAGGGAGGCTTGCAAAGTGCTGAGGTTTGACCCAGCAAATTCAGACCCCAAGAAAGCTTCTTTTAATTTCAACTGACAGAAGCTTGCAAAAGGAGCAGAGGGGATGCTAGCAAGGTTGTCGAAGGAGCTTGCAAAGTGCTGTGCTTTGATCCAGCAAATTCAGATCTTGGGAAAGCTGTCCTTAATTGTCAGGAACATGGCCCCCTGCTCAGGCCTAACTTGTCTCCTGCGCTCTCTTTCCGTTCCTGAACCCCACTCCTCATTTCCTATCCCTACTTTTCCCTAATGCTGGTATTTTTTTCCAGGCCCCACCTCTTCCTTTCCCTGGGTCTATTTTTGCTCCTCCTCCTCCCCTGATTACTTTCTTTTGCAGACCCTCCAAGCGCCCCTATTTTTCAGGGGACAGTCCAGGATTTACAGCAGCCGTTCTGGTTTCTGATTTGATCCCGGAATGACCTGCTTTTCCTTAGGATGTTCCTATTTCCATTGGAGAAATGTTGGAGCGTATGAAGTCATGCGACCCCCGAAACAAGGAGATAAGTAACGACGCAACCTTTAGAAGATGTCTGAAGGCAGCTCTGTATAGGGACGTTTTTCAATGTTTCAGTATGTTTTTATATATGTTGGTGGCTGGGGCAACCCAGTCAGATGGGCAGGGTATAAATATTATTACAGTGGTACCACAGTTGTCGAACGTAATCCATTCCAGAAGACCATTCGACTTCCGAAACGTTAGACAACCAAGGCGCAAAGGGCGGTCAGCAAAGTCGGTGGAGAAAATTGAAAAACACGCAACAGAAGCCGTTCAACTTCTGAGGCACGTTCAGAAACATTTACTTCTGGGTTATCAGCATTTGAAAACCAAAACGTTCAGTTTCCGAGATGATCAAAAACTGAGGTACCACTGTATTATTATTATTGAATAGGAAGCCTCTTATTTCATCAGAGAAATGTTGGAGGGAATGCTTTTGGACAGACCTTCAGAAACCCATAACATTGCTCCACAATAGAGCAGTCCTCACGCTCTGGTTTCCCTCGCTTTGTCTCCCATTCCAGGTCATGGCGTGCCCTGAGATGTCCTCCTCCATCTTGTGAACTCCTTGCCTCTGCCCAATGCCTGCGGAACCGCCTGCCACCGCCATGGTCCACCCCGAGGGGAGTGCCCTGCTGAAGGCTGTCTGGCAGGGCAAGTTCCGCCTCACCCGCCTGCTGCTAGAGGGTGGGGCCTACATCAATGAGGGCAACATCCAGGGGGAAACCCCCCTCATTGCGGCCTGCGTGGCCCCCTACGAGGACCCTCAGAACAAGTCCCGCATGGTGAGGTACCTCCTGGAGAACGGGGCCGACCCCAACATCCCTGACAAGATGGGGAAGTCCGCCCTGATGCACGCCTGCGCCGACGGGGCTGGGGCTGAGGTGGCTTCCATTTTGTTGGCGCACGGGGCAGAGCCCAGCGCCAAGGATTACTCTGGGGCGTCGGCTTTGGTGTACGCCATCAACAAGGGGGACCGGGGGACCTTGCAGGTGCTCTTGGATGCTTGCAAGGCCAAAGGGAAGGAGGTCATCATCATCACCACAGACACGTCCCCCTCAGGGACCAAGAAAACCAAGCAGTACCTGAACTCGCCACCGTCGCCAGGTGTGGAGGACAGCCGTTCGCCCGCTCTGTGCATGTCCCCCTCAGACATTGAGGTGAGGACCTCCCAGTCCCCCGGCGGCAGCGAGAAGGAAGAGGAGCGTGATGTTTTCAACTTCACCATGGCCACCCGGCTCAGCTGCTCCCCTCTCCCGCACGGCAAGGGGAAGGAGGCTGAGGAGAAAGCCCCGACCCTCCCGCCCAAAGGCCGGCCCAAGCAGCTGAAGAGGTTAAACTCGGAGCCATGGGGCCTGGTGGCGCCCTCTGTCCTAGCTGCCTCCCACCAGGAAAAGGCCCGGACCCCGGAAGAGAGGATGACGGCTGAGATGAATGGCCTGAGCTTCTCGAAGAGGCCTCCGTTGTCCCGGAGACACAGCATGGAAGGCCAGGAGTCGTCCTGCCTCAAAATGGCTGCTCACCAGGCCTCAGGGGAAGAGCTGCCCAGCCTGGAAGCCGCGTGGGCAGAGAAAGTCCATTTCAGCCACCTGCACCAGACTCTCGCCCGACGCAACACGGCGCCCGAAACCCAAGACGGCGGTCCAAGTCCTGGCTCCCGGGCTCTGGTCCACCCCAAGCTGAATTGCTTGGACCACTACGAGTTGGATTCCCTCTGCCCCGAGTCCATCCCCGGCTCCCCGGATTCGGGCCGCGTTTCTGTGGAGAGGAGGAAGTACAACGCCTCCCCGTTGACCCTGCCGGCCAGCTCGTCCCGAGAGAGTTTGGAAAGCATCCCCAACGCCGTCTCCCCCATCACGATACGACGCCGAGCCCCGGGTCTCCTCGAGAGGAGGGGCTCTGGGACGCTGCTGCTGGACCACATTGCCCACACCCGGCCGGGCTTCCTGCCCCCACTCCACCTCAACCCCCACCCTCCCCTCCGCGACATCCGGGGCAATGGCAAGCCCTCCTCCCCGGCCCACAAGGGCCTGATCCCGGTGGCCCCCACTTCTCCCAAAGGCAAGAGGCTACTCCGGAGGCACTCCATGCAGACGGAGCAGATGAAGCAGCTGGTCAGTTTTCAGAGCCTGATCGCCCAAGGGGACTCGGTGGCCAGTTAAGACATGGCGGAATGGGAACAGGGCAATCTACAGTCTTCTCGTCTTTGCCTCATGGGGACTTGGAGGGCCTTCCACAATGCCGTTTTCCTGCTTTCCTCGCCGGCCTCTGAGCCCACCCTGTCTTCGTAGCTGGGTTTCTGCGTCTTCCTCCTTCCTCTCATTTTGGTGTTCCATGTCGTAGCCGCCATCTTTATAAACTGGACATACGAAGCATGACGTCGGAGCCAACACCGCGAGGCCAGAGTGTAGGGGAGGGGCCTTTAGAGTGAAGTCGCTGAGGTCAAGCAGGCGACCCAGGAAGTTTTGCCCATCTGCTTGCGATGAAATTCTTTGGAGTGGGAAGGTTGAGTTGGGTGTTGGCTTCCTTGACTGACCCACCAAAATCTTCATCAGGCGTGCAGGAGACTGTTGGCATCCTTCGCTTCCTGCCCCTACAGACGAGGCCTGGGATCTGCAAAAAAGGCAGAGCAATGGAGTCTGATGGTTGACATGGTGACTCTATGGGGTAAAACCCCAACAACATCTCTGAGATGAAATCTAGAGGGTGAATTCGCATTTGGAAAACATACGTTTTGTGGATCGATGTCTGCTTTGAGGGTCCCGTCCTCAGCAAGCAGAGACCCATCCCAGTAGGAAAGAGGACTTTAAGCCCCCAGGTGCTCTTCCCTGGGTCACCTTCATCTATATTCTTTTGAATATTTTTTTTCTTTTCTGTGGGGTTAGATTTCAGTTCTCTTGTTGACACTTGATGTTGGTTGGGTGGGTTGTGGGAAGCTGTATGCCCAATTTCAGGGAGGCGAATCTACGCACATCTGGTTTTTAGACCTGGAAAGCTGAAAACCGAGAGGGCACATGTTCTCTTTGCCACCTCCTGGAGTGGGTGGCATGGGCAAGGGAGAGCTCTAGCAGTGGGTTGCCAGGCTCTCTTCATAGGGATCACAGCCCACCTGGGTTCTTTTGGAGGTGGGGCGTGACTTTCCTGAAAAGTTCAAATTAGTTTGCTGCAGCTGGGATAAATGCCAAACCCAATCCAAGCCCCTTTAAACTGGCATCATCCCCCAGCCCCACAGAATGCTGAAGCACCCGAAAAATGCCAAGGCAGCCTTTGCCAACCTGGTTTCAACCTGGAAGTTGTAGTCTAGAGCATATGGGGACCAAAAAAAATATGTTGGCAAAGGCTGCAGTAGGGCAAAACTCCCCCCAAATTATTTGATGCCTGAGACACAGGATATCTCCCTCCCCCTGCCCCCTGCCCTTGAATTAAACTCAGAGACACTCTTCGTTCTTCCTTACAAGGAGGTGTATCTATTTCCTCCATCAGCTCCCAGAACAATGGTATGTTACTGTTGGGAGTACCTGGTTGCTAACCACTTTTTTGGGCACCTCTTCCTCTTCCGTTCCTTGCCAGGGCTCAGGGATGGCAACAGGATTTATCTGGCCAACAGGAGTAATGTTGGGATTCCTGCCGCCGCCCCCCCATGCAGCCTGTCAGCTGTAACCCAGTCTGCATCAGGGAACCCAGACACATCTTTGATGCAATCTAAGCGCGGGTGGCGCTGTGGGTTAAACCACAGAACCTAGGACTTGCTGATCAGAAGGTTGGCGGTTCGAATCCCCGTGATGGGGTGAGCTCCCGTTGCTTGGTCCCTGCTCCTGCCAACCTAGCAGTTCGAAAGCACATCAAAGTGCAAGTAGATAAATAGGTACCACTCCGGCGGGAAGGTAAACGGCGTTTCCGTGCGCTTCTCTGGTTTGCTAGAAGTGGCTTAGTCATGCTGGCCACATGACCCGGAAGCTGTACTCCGGCTCCCTCGGCCAATAAAGCGAGATGAGCACTGCAACCCCAGAGTCGTCTGCAACTAGACCTAATGGTCAGGGGTCCCTTTACCGTTACCTAAGCTCCCCAAGGCCTGGCCAGCTCTATAGGGCCCAAGCCTTCAATGCAGTGGTTCAACCCTCTTGCCTCTTGGCACTCAGTTTGCATGTCCTTTGGGCCAAAAGAGGGCGCCCAGCAACCTCCCCGCAAGAAACATTGATTCCATGGCTGTCGGTCCTGTTTGAAACGGATTGAAATGTCTGGTGCAGACCAAGTGCGGGCCTTGACGCTGCGCTCATTTGGGACAGTCGAGGAGAGCGAGAGGCTCTCCTGCCTCTCCCAGCTTTCCACGTGCCTCAGTTTCCTGCCAAATGGGGCTCCCGATACCGACCCACGTCTGTAAAACGGCTTTGATAACCGAGGGAGGCAGGCAGTGGCAAAGCCACCAGGGTTGCCGGCCACAACGAATGTATTCTCTTGTTCCTTCCTGCGGTTTAGTAGTGTCGACAAAGCAATAGTACTTCGGAGTAACACTTGAACTCAGCCCCTTCCATCCTTAAGCGCTGTTCCGGTGGGTGCTGAAATGACACCCCCACTCTCTCAGCAGGCACAGGGAGGCTTCAGGAAGGTGGGACCCCCACCACTCAAGGCCTGAGGCCCAATCCAAGCACACTCTCAGCTCTCCTGAAGGAGCTCCTGTGCAATGTTCCCTCTTCCTCGCACTTTTGCTCCCGGTCGTACGGCACACCCTGTGTCGCTGAGGTGTTGGTTGTTCAGGTGGCATGTGCCACCGCCTTGTGGTTTTTTCCACCGATAAAAGTCAGTTCAGGTGGGGATGTCCGTCCCTGCTCTACTCCTCTTCCAATTGGATCCCAGCCTCCCCATTTCCCTTGCCTGCCTTCCTTTCTTCCCACAACTGTCCAAGCTCAAGACCAGCCAGCCAGAATAACCTCTTCCTTCTCTCACAGCAGTGAGCACTTGATTTTGCTGGAGGGACTCTTTGAGAAGGACATGCCAGGGCCCCACATTAACCTTCCCTCCCAAAAACTGGGGTTTTTTTTGCAAACCCTGCTTCCGCAATCCTCTTCCACTTCCGCCTTGGTAACTGGGGCAGAGCACTGGCTGGCCTGCTGCGCTGGAATGTTTATGAACATTCCATGACAGCAGAGAAGCTCAGCCAATAGCGACAGCTGTGCTGCCGGTGAGGGAAGATGGACCACCCACTTTCCTGCCTACCGTCAATTCCAGCCACCAAGTTTTTTGAATTTCAGTATTCTGAGCTGTGGAGAAGGGCGTCAGTATCCAGGGTATATTTCCTGCTGTGAATCTGCCCCCACCCCACCCCCCGCCACTGCCCCACATGCTTTCTTCTCCCAGTCCCAACAATGCCCTCTGTCTGATAGGCAGCCCTCCATGCTCTAAACCGACGTTGTTTCCTTAATAGCAAATCACAGGTTTCCCCCCTGAATTTTGTTCAATTGCCTTTGCACTCGTCTTTCTCTTCCAATCGTGGTACAAGCACAATGTCGCCCCCTGTGGCCAAACGCACAACTTGTTGGGTGGTGAATGCCAACCGTTAAAGCTTTTCTGTGCTATAAAGTCCTGTATGGACCAATAGAGATAGATAGATATAAAATAATGTACACATAATACTGAACAAAAGAACTACTGCGTTTGTTTGCTTATTTGTGTGCCCGTGTTTGTAAATAGCCAACAATGTGCTCCACGCCTCTTGCCTTAAATGCAGCTCAGAGTTTTTCATATTCTCTTTTAGGGCCTGTTTTCACCTGGAGGAGAGACAGTGTGGAGTCTAAGGGTTTATGTTTGCTTTAGATTTGCGCAGCCTCAGTGTCAGTCCCAAGCAAATTCGGTATATGCTGTCTAGAGTTCTACAAGTTCATAACATATTTAAGCCACCTCTCTGCCACCCTCATTCTAGCATCTCAGACAACAAGGAACAAAAATACTGACTCAGGAGGGAGGATAGTCAAAAATATTCGATAGCCAGCTTGTACTTTTATCATTTCTTTCTAATATTAATATCAATATTATATTCATATTTATTTGTCACTTTTTCCCACTGAACAGTCTTGAAAAATAAAAGTAACAGGAAACATTTTTAATGAGCAGTAAAACAAGACCTGCAAGTTCAAAATGCACACCTCTAAAGAACAGATCCTGGCCATCCCGCTTAAAGGGTGAGGTCACAAACGTAAAACCCTAATTATCCTTCCAATGTAGGGTCAAAGGGTCAATAGAGATGGAAGGGCACAAAGTGTTGCTTCATCCTTCCTCTTAGCTCCTGTTCAGGTCAAAAGCATTGGGAGGCTGACTCTTACCCCACCCAGCTGTGATTCCTTGGTTCCTGCATTCTGGCATTCCTGGGAGATTAATTTCACTACTTCTGAGTTATAAAATGATGGATGCCGGAGCTCTTAAGTCAACGGCCAGCAATATCCCTCTGTCCCAAAAGCCCTTCCCAGAGCACACACAGAATTGTTGCAGTTTACCCAATGAGCAGAAAGCACTTTGAACATGCTCAGAGAGACACTGATCATTCCAGGATTAAGACCCAAAGGCTTTTTCTCCAGTTAAGAAGCCCGTAGGGGGACGAATCTGTATTAATGTCCCTGGCTAATTTTCTTAGTGGGTGAAGCTGCCCACTTGATCTGGATCCATTCTGCAAAAAAAAAAAAAAAACAACACCACCTGGTTCCTCTTGGTCCAGATCCACAAGCCAGGGAGCAGCGGAAGATCAGGGTTGCAAAGCTCAGGCAGACTGTGTCAATAAAGGCAGGAGGACAGACAGTGACATTTTAAACAGCTGTTCGGAACAAGCAGGGCGCTTTGGAGGGGAAATGCGCACAGGAGTGTTGTGAAGCCAAGCTGGTCGGTGTGGGTGGAGAGCTAAGCAAGAGGAAGGCTGGCTCTGTTAAGCAGGGAAGTTGAGAGCAAGGATGATTCTGTCTTCTGCTGCCTCAGAGGAAATGAGGAGAAATCGCACCAGCTTTCCGCCTAAGCCTGCCAAACAGTCGCTTTCATACTTTTCTGAGCACGCATGCCTCTGAGCTCGTGCAGAGTGATGCACAGGCAAAGTTTTTGTTTCAAGAGCAAAGGACTTTGGAGCATGGGCAGAGACCCCCCCCCCAATGTGGAAGAATATGTTTGAAAAGTGATAGTTTAA